AAGTATAAAGACATCTGTAGTGCTAGGTTGGAAACTATTTCATTCCCTGGAAATAAAAGAAGAAACAGAAAACATCCTTATGAGCTTGTGTGGTTCATTAAGCTGCTATAAGCCTAGGCTTGGGTGAACAAACATAAAGTTGGTACAGTACTTGTTATGTGGCGTCTTTGGATGTTTCGTAGCGCGCGTGAATTGGGGAAAACAGTCTCAGTTACAGAGGTAAATGCTGCTCTCAATGTCTCCGCCATGTTTGTTTTCCCTTCCCAGTGTGCATAGTAACCTCTGTGCTATCCCAACATATCCTTGCGCTCTTGCAGTGGACAAGACAAGATGGCGCAGCTATTGCGAACGGGTAAATAAATGATAGACCACTTTGCAGTAATATAGCCGCTTTTTTTATACAGTTTTGTTTCTTGATATTCCTTCAGCATGGAAGATTACTGTTCCGAACTCCATGGCTGTAAGGACTCTCTCAGTCTCTTCTAGCAAACTCAAATTCAGTAAGTACAAATATTACAGTCGAGTTTTTGTGGGATCAATGAACCATGCATCTGATCGTAGTTTCTTTGTGTTGATAGAATACATCTCAAGAGAGAACCAAGACATACCGATGGATTTTCACAGTGCAACAGATCGGAATGCGCAGACACTCTTCCTCACAGAGATGCTTCGAGGTATTTTGTTATCATCCAGTACCATCTCAGGTGTTACATAAGCTTAGTAATCATCTGTAATATTTATCCAGACGACAACTATAAAAGAAAATCTATCATTGATTTTAATCAATATCATCAATAAAAATCAATAAAAATCTATTGATTAATTTTGATTGGCTTAGCCAATCAATAAAAATCATTTATCACTCACCAATGCGTCTAAACGTTATTGATTTTCTTTGATTGCTAGTGATAATCAATAGCTGATAGTGCAACAGTAAAAACCCAGGTAGGCATTTGCTTAAACGCCGCTATGTCTGTGGAAATTTCCATTTCCTGTGTAGTCAAGGGGTATCACCACCAGTGTTTTCCATTTCCAAGAAGAGGGGAGAAAATGGTAACACATTCAAAGAAAGCACAATGGGTGACATTTTAGTTTTCCAATAAAAGCCAATAAAATCAATGTAAATTAATGAAAATCGAAAATCACTCAAGACTGCGGCTTTGATTTTTATTGATTTTCAATATCAATCAATTAATTGCTATTGATTTTTATTGACTATTGTTGATGTTATTGATTATTGATTTTGATTTGATGGTAGCGTCTGGTATTTATGTATGCTTTTCAAGTTCAGCCATCCTCAGATTTTTATCAAATCAGGTACAAGGGGATGTCATTCACAGTTTTCCTTACTGCAATGTGGGACTTGAAATGTCAAGATATTTCCTTGTAACCTCTTACATTACACACACCATTCTACTAAATTCCATACAGGTAAACAATGAACATGAATGGAGTGTTAAAAAAACGCATGTATTTAATAAATCACTCACTTTATAATTATTACGAGAAATAACCAAAGGCGAGGTAGATGCAAGGTGTTTTAGGTTTCTTATCAAAGGTCAAAACGCTCTGGCTCCAACGCTGGTGTTTGCATACAGTTCACATGATAATAGGTCAAAATGCCTGTGATCAGAATAGCGTTTAGACAAATGACGTCATAAATTTCGGTTCCCTGCTGTGACTCAGACATTAAACCTGATCCATATAAGAATTTTGTATGGGAAAGTCTTGTCCGCCTGCAAATTTACGTCGTCTTTGAAGTTTTTTATTCTCAAAAGAACTAAATTCCAGTATGGTTTTGATAATATATATCTTGAAAATAATTAAGTTATGTGTGCCAAGACTATGTTAAACATGGAAATAACTGTACAGATGATACTCTGTTTTGTACCTATGCTCAGATATGAAGGTGTCAAAATTCACTTACAAGCAGTGACTTACAGTATCATATTCTTTTCCTCAAAGGTCTTGGTATGACTTTGAGCAAATTTTTTCAAGAACCAGCAACCATCAATTACCCTTTTGAGAAAGGAGGTGAGTCGGGGGCGAAGTCTCCTCTCGTACGGGACTCCTCCATGGGAAGACCTCTTCTCTCCACGTAACGAACATTCGACACTGAAGCCATTTGTCCTGCCCAGGTGGGATACTAGAATTTGTTTAAAAGCACTGTAGTAGGAAAATATCAGGTCATTTTATGTTCCTAGTACTCCAGTTCGGGGAATAAAAGAAAATGCTGGTAGTTTAAATTTGCAGGTAAATATATTTTTTTTGGCGGAGTCTATAATTCTTCTCATTTACGAAAATGTTAACAGCGTGCAAAGAAAATAGTGTCCGATAGTCTGGGGCTGGTGGATTTTGCTGTCGGGCTGGTGAATTCTGTTCTTAACCTGCCCAATCAGGAAGTGATTTTTTGCGGGGGAATTCAAATTACAGAAGAACTGTAATCAATCCTGCTCATCAAATCTTTTTCAAGCTAGTTTAAATGACTTTCAGGCTAGTACATGCTAGCTAGAGCTTGCCAAATGGCAAGCTGTAAAACTGACTTTGTTTGCACCGTGGTCAAGCTTGCATCATTGTTATTTTGTTCTGCTGTACTTTATAGGCAATTACCATTGAGGCAGAACCTCGAGCTGATGGGAGTCGCCGCACAACACGCTATGACATTGACATGACCAAGTGCATTTATTGTGGCTTTTGTCAAGAGGCATGTCCTGTGGATGCTATAGTGGAGGTATTTGAAAGGAACCAATCAATCCTAAACTCCTTAAATCTCCCAAAGGTAGCCAGTAAGAGATAATAATTATTCAGCATCAATGGAATAAAGGGGTTAAAGATTAAATAGAAATTGAGTTGTGCATCAGTGGGACATTGAAACACAAAATTTGTCACTCAAATAAAACTAAATATTTAATATTTAGTTTTATTAGAGTGATTTTACCTAACGCATGAAATAGCTAGTAGAATACTACCCACTATTATGCACTATTATGTATTCTTTTGTTTACCTGTTGCTATTTTGCACCGGTTGTTTGTATCTGTTTCTTGGGTCAAGTAAAATCACTAGATTATATTATAAAAGTTAACTCACCACCAAACAGAGAGAAAGAAGGCTGACATTTTGAATATTGGCCCTTCATCAGAGTGAATCCAAGGGCTAGTACTAATGGAATGTCAGCTTTTTCATCTTTTGTTAGGATTGAATTTACTTCATAACTTTTGAATTTTCGATGGTTTGTAAGAGATAAAAGTACCTTTTTGTTCACATGAAATAAATTCCCTGTAGTACTTCTGGTTGTCTTTCATTCCATTGGTAGTGTTACACCTTTTGTGACTTTAGGTTTGTAAACCCCTGAATATAAGCCCCTCCAAACTACTATTAAGAACTATCAATTTGCTTAAAAGCTATGTGCCATGACAGGGCTATCAATAAGGGCCAGTAGCCAGCCAAAACCACCAGCTAGTTAGCCATCTTTAGCCAGCTACTTTCATCTCCTTCTACCATAACTGCTGACAAAAAATAGGCACCATCAAATAAAATTGTAAAGCATTCATTTCCCAGTTTTCAATGACATTGATCATATTTAAACAAGTTTAGATCTGTGAAATGTTCGAACCATACGATGTCGTGGAACGCCTGGGACATTTCAACGGCATTATTCCTAGTCTCGTAGGTATTCTGAAAAAACAACATGGTGTCCGCAGTGGAAAATTCCTCTTGAAAAAATGCCATTTCAGCGACTCTAAATTTTAAAATGTCCCTAGATGCCTCAGCCCTCAAGAACTTGTGTCTTTGGTGTGAGTTCCAAAGCCGCCTTCCATTCATTATCAGCCTGCTACTTAAAAACTTTTTGACAGCCCTGCATTCATTGTTCTTTTGCAGGGACCCAACTTTGAGTTTGCTACGGAGACCCATCAGGAGCTGTTATACAACAAAGAAAAACTTCTGAACAATGGTGACCGATGGGAAGCTGAAATAGCTGGAAATCTTCAGGCAGATTTTCTTTATAGATAAAACACAAGTTTTACCAAAATCGATTTTGTAAATTAACAGAAAATACCGATAGCTCTGTATTTTGCATGAGCTGCAAATTAATGTAACATTGTTTTAAACCTATGATTATAGTAGTGGATGAACATGTTACTACTTGTAAGTGAACATAAGTGCAACTTGCCGCTTATAGACAGATTGAACTGATAAGTGTTATGGATAATTTTCTGTATTTTTAAGGTTATATTTAGCAACTAATGCTGAGGGATATCTTGCAGCATTTAATAACTGCGTTTGCAAATTATTTTAAAGATCTTCTGTTTGTATCTATGTTTTGCCTTTTATTCTTATGTATTAGCAAAATATATTTTGTTAATACTTTCAAACCTCTTCTTGCAAAAACATTCCATAAAGGGACACCACCTTGTGGTCCCAACAGTTCCAGCAATCAAACCTTCATTATTTTAATACTGTGGGCAGTCTCTTATTTTTCTTTTCAGTCATGGTATATTGTGAACACGCTCACGGTTCAAAGGGTGAAGCTGCAAAGAATCTCTCCCCCTTGTTATCTCCAATTTGTACAATTTTACTTTATCACCCACCACCCATGGCTGTGAGGAAAGAATGACAAACGCTCGCCATCTATTTTAATCCCTGAAGATTGGTGAAGAAGGACACCTCCCTTTCCAGGGAGTGGACAGTAAAATGAATCAAGTCTAAAGATAATGGAAAAGAAGTTCCAGGGGTTTCAATAAAAATTGAAGTAGTTGGAAGGTTTGATTAGAGTAAGTAACAGTATCAACAAGGGGCCATTAGTCCCCTTTTTGTGAAGGGTCGGGGGGCATGTTCCTCCCCAAAATTTTAAAATTTCCAAGCCCTAATATGCAATTTCCAGCGTGCCAGACAAAATTGTGTATTTTTCATTCAAGAAAGTGTAGCTTTCATCAAAGTTTCAATTTATCAGCCACACGATCAACTCCTTCAAGCAATTAACACAAACGACGATAATTCAATAACCTCTATTTGCACATAAACAAATTTTGGGTATATCTATCTAAAAGGATGTCATGGAAAATTGAATGAAATATGGCATTGACATAACCAACTACCTAAAGTGTACCATAAATGGAGTGCTTCTTTGGGAATTAGAACACACATCATAATTACGTTTTCATCGAGATGTTAAGATAAATTTTTTGTTTACGACATTATTAAAATGTTATGGTTGCTTCTTCTTTCGGGAAAAAAGTAACCGACTTCTCTGAGCAGATTACCTGACTTGTTTAATCGGTCATCGGTACTTATTGAAACCCCTGAAGTTCTTAAGAGCGCTATCTAAACAAAAACTGAATTGTAGCAAGTTAATAGTATATTTCAGTGAATAGGGGGCCAATAATAATATTATTGCACCTCTATTATTATTACATACATCATGTCTCCATATAGTGTTTGAAGTTTATCGAACTTTATCCAACACCCAGTAAACACATTGAACACTAAAATTTTAATGTTGCCGAGATGCAAGGAAAAAAAGGATCTGATGAATTTTAGAAAATGATATTTTTCTTTATTGCAAATCTATCTCGGACTTAAAATGCATGCATAAATAGTCACTAAAAATTAAAGTTACAGTAAACTTTCTTAATTTAAGAACCTTGATCTAAATTTTAAAAAGTGTTCAAAACTCTATATAACATTTCTTTTAGTGATATTTTAACAGATAAAAGGTTCTTTATTTACAGTCACCTGAGCATTATAACTTTAAAAACATTTTTAAATATGTTGAACATGGGAGGTACATGAATAAAATTTGAAAAATATGGAATTTTTTAAGCAGAATTTGAGCTCAAGTTCCTAACAACCTATATTATTGTTGGGGATGAACATGTTACAAGGGGAAGGTTGTAATAACAATTTGGCATCAATCAACACCCTGCCAAAAAATAACAATACTGATAATTTTCCTAAATTCTCTTACTCAAAACTATTAGAATTTAATGCACTCGAATCTGGTTTTTCAATATTTAAAAACTCATTAACAATAACTGGAAATGAAGCTACTGGGTATTATCCCCTAAGAGCCTCTGCCCAGTGGGGACTGTCTGAATTTAAATCGGACATCTCCGTCTGATTCTGATATTTCAACCAATCACGCCATAAGAATGTGCAATAACACAACGGGCAGTCTCCTTCTACTGGTATCAAGAATGAACCTTCCCCACTATCGAAGAGGAACCTTTTAGCCAGGCAAATTATATGACCTTTCATTGGACAACTTTCTGAAAGACAAGAGAGGCATTCATCTGCATCCTGCAAGAAAACAGAAACTGGTTCAACTATCTTAAAATCTGAGAGCATAGTCAGGTGGTGAAAGACATGCACTCCTTGTTGAATGCAACTTCATTCACTAGACTGAATAATATTTTGTAAATATATAAGCAGTCACTAAATAAGTTGTTACCTAAAATAATACCTAACCAGTACTAAAAACAGTATGCATCCATATCAACACTTTAATAACAAAGAATCATAGGTACTTCTGTACACTATCAAAAAGGAAAACATTTCATTTAGCCACATTATACTCAACTCCTTTCTCTTCCCAACTGCTTCTCACCTGCCTCAAAAAAATATTGGTGCTTTTAAAAAACTGGCTGTACCTTAATCCTTTTAGAACATTCTATGCATTTGTAGTTGCAAACATCTTTTGACTCCTCACATTCCTCTTGGTTTCTCTTCTTAGGTTTTTTTTTATTTTCCTCAGGTATATGATATCCGTACACCCAGCCTCCAACGACAAGTTGTAGTTTGAGGTAAACCATAAGAACTTTCAGCCATCTTATTGTAAGAGGTAGACGATTCCATGGCCCAACATTAAGCATTGCAGATAGGACTCTGAAGCGATAGGCAACACAAGACTCTTTGGTCTTTTTATTGAAAACATGATGGAGACGTCTAGATTTTGTGGGGTTTTGCCATGCCCATTCAAACTGGAAAAAAAGTAATAATAAATTGCTGCAATATGTATTATGGTTCAGTGATATCCATGGTTCAAATTTTAACTTTAGGGGTTATGGTAATGTATGATAACGTCGAGTTCAAGATATAAGAAGGCAAAATTGACCACTCCAGAAAGTACAATAACATAATGCTCTTTGTTTGTCACCCCAAAATTTTGCATAAGCATTGTCTTCAGTTTCTCTTGGAAGATGAAATGGTCCCAGGAGAAACTGAAACAGGGGCGGATCCAGGATCTTTTTTAGGAGGGGGCGCACTCGTCTCTTGCTCTACTTCAACACCAATAAACCACATAGTTTTTTTTGTTGCAGAATACCAGTTGTATTAGAAAACCGCAAGTCATCTCAGGGAGGGGAGGTGCACACCCCCTGCACCCTCCCCCTAGATCCGCCCCTGTGAAAACAATGCTTATGTAAAACAAACAGAGAGCATTGCGACACGTAGATATATATTTTTTAGCAACTAATATAATTTGCAGTCTGTCTACTTTGAAATGGTACGTTATGGTATTCTCTAGAGTGGTCAATTCGAACCAAGATGAAATTGGACCACAACATTTGCAAAGACATTTAAATTAAATTGTTACCTGTAGAGCAATTATATCACTAGGAAATCCATGGACTATCAAAATCATCTCCCTGCAAGTAGTAAATACATGTGTAGTAAGGCTTTTATAGAAAAATCTGTACTCCTAGCTCCGCGCTCCGGTCATTGAAATTCAAAGGAGAGATACAAAGAGAAATTGAAATCAGTTCAAAAATTAACCATGCTGAGTATATATTTCCCTGCTAACGTAACCCTCTGACGAAAAATTGAAGTTTAAAGTTTAAAGAAGCTTAAGAATAGCTTCCTACAGTAAATCGATAATTGTTTGATGTAAGTTACAACGTACCACGGTCCTCTTCCACTGGTCCTAAAGGCACCTCCTTTCTGTACACCACCATTATGCTGTTTGATTCGGCGATTGGGATCAACGGTAAATCCAATGTAGGTGCGTCCCTTATATCGAGGATTTAGACAATATAGAAGGTAAACTCCGTAGAAATTATCCCCTGTATTGTTTACACAATCGTCCATTTCTTTCATCCGCGATATTTTTTCGAATTCGTTGGCCGTGAGGAACTGAGCTGGAGAATAGTCCCAGGCCTTCTCGACTTGATTAAATATTTTTAGGAGATGCACTGAAATGTGATATTTTGCAAGAAGATGAAGGGATGCAACGCCTCCCTTTCACATGTCTTCCATGCAGACTATTCACGCATGCATGTAGACATATCCACAGAAATAACTCTCTTCCATTAAAAAAATGCTTATCCACTGAATACTGGATAGCGATTTATTCAATGTCCAATGGATTAGCATTACCCCCACGAAACCACCGGTGAAGATTGAAGGAAAATGCTCCATTTTAAGTTTGTTTTCTAGGGACAAAAATTAAGAAAGGCTCCACAACAATGTTTGAGGAGGTGTGAGTGGAATAAGGCCCTGAGTGATTCTTGACCCACAGTTCCTCTTTTAAAAGAAAAGCAATTTATTAGAATCTAGCTGTTAGTTAAATTTAAGTCAATTGCAGCATATTTCGTACAACCCTGCAACTAGAGTACCACTCGAAAAATAGTTACAAAGAATATTCTAAACACTTATGAGACAGGTGTGCCCCCCCGGGGGTGTGCCGCTGTGGATAGAGAACAACTCTGGTGTTATGAGATTCATAACGCAGGAACTTTGGACTAAAGTACAAGCAAAGCATGGTCACTATCTGATAATTTTAGACCTGAGTAAGAGCAAAGAATATACAGCCATTATCAAGTTTATCAAGCCCAAAACACCCATCATGCTCAGTGCTGTCACTAAAATTTCAAGTTGCCGGGTGTATGAGATTAGTGGGAGGGGAATTGTGCAAGCCATGAAGTTCTTTTGTTCCCATTTTCTTTTTGGTTGCTCTAAGAGTAGCCAGGGCTCACACTAATGGTAGCCAGGGAAAATCCCCAGCCCCTGGCTTTTAGTGACTGCCCTGCATACTGACATTACGGTGAATTTATTTTGGTTTTATGGTACATGTGTATAATGGGCTCTTTGTATAAACCATTCAGATAGTGGAAGTGCCAAGAGGGAAAATGCCTTTTAAGTTTTAATGGAATAAGAAATCTTTCTGTGATAATGAGTAATGTTTTACAGTCAGGGCTGTGCTCTAGCAACACCTGATGGGCCATGGTGCATTACTTTTGCTCTTGGGTGACTAGAAATCATGGAAATCCTAAGCTGGGCACACTGGATTTCACAGGTTCAGAGCACTGGGCTCCTGTCTATTTTTCTAAAAGCACAGCCTTGACAGTATTTTATTATTCTGATTGTTGTATGTCTAGAAAGTTGTTTTTGTGTTACCTGTAAAAATACACATGCCCTAGGCGCAGTTGTTCAAAAGGTGGATAATGCTATCCAGTGGATAAATCTCTATCCAGTGGATAGTGCAATCCGTTTTCCTAATACTTATCCACTGGATAATGATTCATCCGATGGATAGTGTTATCCAGCATTTGAACAACCGGGGCCTGGGAAACAAATTACACAAAAAAAGAAAGACAGACGGAAAATGATCATCCCTTTATTACACTGCCTAGAAAGCAAATACTTTTGGCAAACAAATTCCAGTATCTTAATCATCCTATTAAATCCAAGTTGACATACAAATTACTTATTTAATCCAGTCAGGAAGACATCATAAACAAAAAGGTACAGCTGCTCTGCATTCAGATAAAAACTCTGATTCATCAATCACCTCCAGGTATTTATAAGGCTCCAGGCATCATTCTTTAATAGTTTACAACAGCAACCAATGTTCATGGAATACAAAAATTTTGTTTGTTATTCATCTGCTTCATCTGCATCTTTGACATAACGGTGCTTGATGTGATTCCACAATTTCTGGTGAAAAAATAAATAATTAATATTATATTGAAATGCACAAAGCCATTTGCTGACTTCTAATTCCCAAATACATGTAGTTTCTAAGAGCAGAAATTTCAAGTTGTAGCACTTTACCAGAGTAAATCAATTCAACCCACAATAATAATTTTGGGTTGAATCTCATAAAGACTTTATAACAATATTATAAAATCTTTATGAGATTTGGTAACCGACGGTTTGTCACAATTATTCCTGGCACCACCAATGTGAGAATAATTGAGTCTACACAAGGGTTATTGATTTTTTAATTTCACCTGTTTTGAGGTGTCAAGATACTATCCAATAAAAACAAAGCAAATTAACGCAGACAAAAATGACAGAAAGTTGCATGTGAAGGGTCAATCCTGCTGGAAACAAAAACAACAGGAAATGACCTCTTGATGTGAGACAAGTAGCAAAATATGATTTGCTTAGTAAAAATTAAGAACAATCCTCATAGCTTTATATACCCATCAGAAAGAAAAATGTTGGAACAAGCAACAAAAGTCATGCAGGCATACCGATACTTCTTTCCACTAAGTTTGATGTGTGAATGTTTACGTTGTTTATGCCCAATGTCTGTGATAGTTATGTAGCCTGTCACTTTTAACCTACCAGTATTAGATCACTGTGTTGGTCATTGAACACAAGGAATTTAAAACTCAATGGCTCGCCTTCAGGTTCACTTACTTGCTGACTCGCAAAACTTTTCCCTGAAAGTGAGCCTACTTACAGGCTACTCCCTGGTACACACCTTCTACTAGCTACTGCATTTAAGTGCACTTTGCCTGATGCTAATGTTTAGAGAGAGACCAACTTTCCGAATATCAATTAAAAGTGATAGTAACTCTGGAAAGGGGGTTTTATCAACTTAAAGAATTCCTGTCCCCAGTTGTTCAAATGTTGGATAGCACTATCCACCATATAAACCATTAGCCAGCGGAATGAGATTATCTATAGTATTAAAGAAACTACTAAATTACAGGTTAAAAGTACTTGTATGATGTGGAAAACCTCAGCAACAGCTGACTTTTTCTCATGACTATACACCTTAAAGCAATCCTCTCGAGCTTTAAAGCTGACCAGTGTATTTTGCAGCTTTCCCACATAAGTAACAATAGAAATTAGAAATTAGTCATGTTATACTGTCATGTCATGAAAGATATTAATCACTGTGGATAATGCGTATGAAGGGTTTAGTTTTATTGTTTGTCTCACGATTGTCACTTTGATATTGATTGCGACGTTCCGACCGCAGACTACAGGTCTTCATCAGGTGATAGTGTCGATTTACTTACCGTGATTGGTGTATCACAAACCTCGCTCATGGTTGGTGGGTTTCAATCCAAAGCATTGTTGGCATTGTGAGAGGAAGAAACTGATCCCTCAGTGGTTCGCTGTGCTAGAGGTCAGTTGTCATGTCTGATTTTCTCACTCAACCATGAGCGAGGTTTGTGATACACCAATCACTAACAACCACAGTGGTACAAATAGTTTGACTTAGTAAATTGACACTATCGCCTGATGAAGACCTGCAGTGTGTGGACGAAAGTCGCGATCAATATCAAAGTGACAATCGTGAGACAAACGATAAAACTAAACAATTTATACTGTCATGTTATATTATTTTGGCAGAGACATCGGGAGAGGGGATGCATTGTGGAAATGATTGCAGTCGAAAATGATGCCAAGTATTTTGGTTGTAAAAGTGTAATTTGTATATTTGTCATCATAATAGCGGAATTACAACCCCAACTTAAAAATGGAACCCATTCTTTTTGTTGTTTCTATAATAGATTCATAAGTAATGGTATACCACTGCCCAGTATCTACTCGCAGCATTTTACTTACAATTTGTACCCTCTGGTACAAAATTATAAGCTTATAATAACACACTTATGCTTACCCCCCGATTCATGTTTTCCCATAAGTTATCCATTCCTTCATCAAACACTCTTTCGAAAAGAAAGCCTCCAACAACTATAGTCACCACAAATGTAGATGTTCGACGGAAAAGTGCGTTGTAAACTGTTCTTCCGAGACTCATCTCGTTCCGTATTGACTTGGACTTTACCGTATAAATTCAGAGGAACTCACGCCGGCTTTCTCCAAGATGGCGACTGCAATATTGTATGGTAGCCGCAAGGGACTATGGACTTGTTTTAGGCTTGCAATGATTGTAGGGATAGAAACTCTGGTGTTATGAGATTCATAACGCAGGAACTTTGGACTAAAGTACAAGCAAAGCATGGTCACTATCTGATAATTTTAGACCTGAGTAAGAGCAAAGAATATACAGCCATTATCAAGTTTATCAAGCCCAAAACACCCATCATGCTCAGTGCTGTCACTAAAATTTCAAGTTGCCGGGTGTATGAGATTAGTGGGAGGGGAATTGTGCAAGCCATGAAGTTCTTTTGTTCCCATTTTCTTTTTGGTTGCTCTAAGAGTAGCCAGGGCTCACACTAATGGTAGCCAGGGAAAATCCCCAGCCCCTGGCTTTTAGTGACTGCCCTGCATACTGACATTACAGTGAATTTATTTTGGTTTTATGGTACATGTGTATAATGGGCTCTTTGTATAAACCATTCAGATAGTGGAAGTGCCAAGAGGGAAAATGCCTTTTAAGTTTTCATGGAATAAGAAATCTTTCTGTGATAATGAGTGTTTTACAGTCATGGCTGTGCTCTAGCAACACCTGATGGGCCATGGTGCATTACTTTTGCTCTTGGGTGACTAGAAATCATGGAAATCCTAAGCTGGGCACACTGGATTTCACAGGTTCAGAGCACTGGGCTCCTGTCAATTTTTCTTAAAGTACAGCCTTGACAGTGTTTTTTCATTCTGAGGGTTGTATGTCTAGAAAGTTGTTTTTGTGTTACCTGTAAAAATACACATGCCCTGGGTGCGGTTGTTCAAAAGGTGGATAACGCTATCCAGTGGATAGAGCAATCCGTTTTCCTAATACTTATCCACTGGATAATGATTCATCCGATGGATAGTGCCATCCAGCATTTGAACAACAGGGGCCTGGGAAACAAATTACACAAAAAAAGAAAGACAGAAGGAAAATGATCATCCCTTTATTACACGGTGTCGAAAGAAAATATTTTTGGCAAACAAACTCCAGTATCTTAATCATCCTATTAAATCCAAGTTGAGATACAAATTATTTATTTAATGCAGTCAGGAAGACAACATAAACAAAAAGGTACAGCTGCTCTGCATTCAGATGAAAAGTCTCATTCATCAGCTCCAGGTATTTATAAGGCTCCAGGCATCATTCTTTAAAAGTTTACAACAGCAGCCAATGTTCATAGAATACAAAAATTTTGTTTGTCATTCATCTGCTTCATCTGCATCTTTGACATAACGGTGCTTGATGTGATTCCACAATTTCTGGTGAAAAATAAATAATATATTAATATTATATTGAAATGCACAAACCCATTTGCTGACTTCCAAGTCCCAAATACATGTAGTTTCTAAGAGCAGAAATTTCAAGTTGTAGCACTTTACCAGAGTAAATCAATTCAACCCACAATAATAATTGTGGGTTGAATCTCATAAAGATTTTACAATAATAATATAAAATCTTTATGAGATTTGGTAACTGACGGTTTGTCACAATTTTTCCTGGCTCCACCCGTGTGAGAATAATTGAGTCTACACAAGGGTTATTGATTTTTTAATTTCCCCTGCTTTGAGGTGTCAAGATGCCATCCAATAAAAACAAAGCAAATTAACACAGACAAAAATGACAGAAAGTTGCATGTGAAGGGTCAATCTTGTTGGAAACAAAAACCAAAGGAAATGACCTCTTGATGTGAGACAAGTAGCAAAAAAAAATAATGATTTGCTTACTCAAAATTAAGAACAATCCTCATAGCTTTATATACCCATTAACAAGAAAGTTGTTGAAACAAGCAACAAAAGTCATGCAGGCCTACCAATACTTCTTTCCACTAAGTTTGATGTGTAAATGTTTATGTTGTTTACGCCCAATGTCTGTGATAGTTATGTAGCCTGTCACTTTTAACCTACCGGTATTAGATCACTGTTTTGGTCATTGAGCACAAGGAATTTAAAACTCAATGGCTCGCCTTCAGGTTCACTTACTTGTTGGCCTGCAAAACTTTTCCCTGAAATTGGGCACCAGTGAGCCTGCTTACAGGCTACTCCCTGGTACACACCATCTACTTGCCACTGCATTTCAGTGCACTTTGCCTGATGCTAATATTTAGAGAGATACTAACTTTCCGAATATCAATTAAAAGTGATAGTAACTCTGGAAAGGGGGTTTTTATCAACTTAAAGAATTTTTTTTTTTTTTAATTGCAAGTAAAACACAGAAAAGAAAAAAAAAATACACAGAATAAATAAAGTATTAAACAGAAAAAAAAAATAGCGAATTTACACACTTACATGGCAATACTTACAAATATTAAACTAGATTACAGCAGTGCTAATTCCATATATTACTGTTAGTACTTAGTATGACCTATAATTAATTTTTGCATTTTTTTTTTTTGCTTTCTTTGCGGCGAAAGTAATATAAAATTAATATTCATGGTAGGTGCAGATATTACTAATTTATGTTTTTGGAGTTAGGAGACAAGACCCAGCGAGGAAAAAAAAGGTTTCCATTTTTTTGTATTCCTGTCCTAAGTTTTTCAAATGTTGGATAGCCCTATCCAGCATATAAACCATTAGCCAGAGGAATGAGATTATCTAGAGTATTAAAGAAACTAATAAATTACAGGTTAAAACTACTTGTATGATGTGGAAAACCTCAGCAACAGCTGACTTTTTCTCATGACGATACAACTTAAAGCAATCCCCTCGAGCTTTAAAGCTGCCCAGTGTATTTTGCAGCTTTCCCACATAAGTAACGATAGAAATTAGAAATTAGTCACGTTACGCTGTCATGTCATGAAAGATATTAATCACCATTGATAATGCGTATGAAGGGTTTAGTTTTATTGTTTGTCTCACGATTGTCACTTTGATATTGAGTGCGACGTTCCGAACACACACTACAGGTCTTCATCAGGCGATAGTGTCGACCGTGACTGGTGTATCACAAACCTCGCTCATGGTTGGTGGGTTTCAATCCAAAGCATTGTTGACATTGTGAGATGAAGAAACTGATTTCTCGGCAGTTCGCTGTGCTAGAGGTCAGTTGTCATGTCTGATTTTCTCACACAACCATGAGCGAGGTTTGTGATACACCAATCATTAACAACCACAGTGGTACAAATAGTTTGACTCAGTAAATTGACACTATCACCTGATGAAGACCTGGGCCCAGTTTTTTGAAGGCCGATTAGCACCTAACTCAGGGTTAAATTTAACCTGGGTTTCTTTTTCTTGTGTTCAAGAGCATTTTCTCGAATAATTTCCTCTGTTTTTTTTAGAGCTTCCAATCATCAACTTGTAGACAAAAAGAATTAAAACTGAAATGTTTTTTAAGCTTTCAAATCTGAATTCAAATCTCACACTAACCCTGGGTTATCTTCACCCAGCTTTGAACAACTCGGCCCTGCAGTGTGCAGTCGAAATGTTGCGATCAATATCAATTCAAAGTGACAATCGTGAGACACACCATTAAACGAAACCCTTTATTCTGTCACGTTATATTATTTTGGCAGAGACGTTGGGGGAGGGGATGCATTGTGGAAATGACTGCAGTAAAAAAAGATGCCAATTGTTTGGTTGTAAAAGTCTCATTTGTATATAGCGGAATAGTATTACAACCCCAACTTAAAAATGGAACCCATTCTTCTCGTTGTTTCTATAATAGATTCATAAGTAATGGTATACCACTGCCCAGTATCTACTCGCAGCATTTTACTTACAGTTTGTACCCTCTAGTACAAAATTATAAGCTTATAATAACACATTTATGCTTACCCCCCGATTCATGTTTTCCCATAAGTTATCCATTCCTTCATCAAACACTCTTTCGAAAAGAAAGCCTCCAACAACTATAGTCACAACAAATGTAGATGTTCGACGGAAAAGTGCGTTGTAAACTGTTCTTCCGAGACTCATCTCGTTCCGTTTTGACTTGGACTTTACCGTATAAATTCAGAGGAACTCACGCCGGCTTTCTCCAAGATGGCGACTGCAATATTGTATGGTAGCCGCAAGGGACTATGGACTTGTTTTAGGCTTGCAATGATTGTAGGGATAGGTACGTCATTTTGGCGCTAAGTTCGCGCGTTTCGTCCCCTGCAGTTGTCTCTGCGATCGGCGTTCGAGAAGATCAAGACATTCGTTTTTCCCTTCTTTCTAAATTCTTATATCAAATCAAATGTACGCCATGCTAGGTGATGGTGCGTTAGCTCACGACGAAAATACTATGGATGTACAAGAAACGAGTACTTTTCGGTTCAGTGAAGAACCCTCTTTGGAGAAAATGTGAGCTGAAGCTGATACAATTCTTACGTAACGCGTGGGAAAATGATAGTTTTTTAATACCAATGTGCGATCTACCTGAAAAAAATTAACTCTTGATTTTTGTTAGTCGACAGATGCAGTCAAACTTTGCAAAGGAAAGAGATTGGGATCAGTTTCATCAGCCCAGGAATCTTTTGCTTGCAATGGTACAATAGCCCCTTGAATACTTCATATAGAAACCCATATAGTGCACCAGTTGTACGATGAGTTTGTTGACCATGTGCAGCGGCGGATCCAGACTTGTTTGTGGGCTGGGACACTGTCTGGCCACAACAAAGTATCTCAGCTCCTCAGCCCTGTCTAAAAACAGAGGGGGAACCACCACTGGTTCCCGGGGGGGGGGGGTCCTTTAGGAATTTCTGGGTGGGGAAGTGTCACTAGGACCCTGGAACCCTTAACCTATACCAGATCTAGTAGCTGAGCTGAATTTTGCTAGCCTATACTAGAGTAACCCCCCAAATCCACCCTATCCTAGAGTAGCAGTGTTTTCCAGAAACTACAGAGGTCACTAAAAATCTTCAACCGACTGATCAGTTTCCTGAAAAATGATACCCTATTCTAGACCCAAATGCTCTGATTTATATACCCTATCCTAGAGTAAACTGTTTGAAAACCATACCCCTTCATTCCCGTCACAGCAGCACATACCCATATAGCCCAGATATGGCAGTACCCACCCCCCTGGCACTGGTTTCTGCTTAGGGCCGGTTTTCCCTAGCATCAGAGTGGGAGGCACAATCACAGTAATTTTGTAAGAGCACTTATGACCATGCTAAAATCAATAATCAGAGCCGTAAGCAGAGTGATAAGCTCAAGGAAATTAGTGTGGGAAGATTCAGAACATGTACATTTTCTTGCTATTCCAGTTGTAACTCCATCATCTTGTGAAAACTAGATTGTTGGAGTTAGAAGCTGAGACGAAAGGATTAACCAATTACAATGCTTGTTTCCACCCTTTGTGAGTTGTTTAGTTCTTCTGCTTATGATTCTGACAACCTAGTGGCCAATTGTCGGTGAAATGTCAATGATCTGTCGGCAAAGGATTGGCCGACTATCGACCAATAGACTGTAGCAACTGAGTGTTGCAAGCACATCGGTCGAGAGTCGACCGAGTATTCAGCCAACATAGCAGCCGATAGATCGATTGACAGTTGACTGAGATGTCGGCCGATACATCGATCAACAGTCCCCAAAAAGATACATGATCCCAATAATTCACCTAGCAAAACCAGTGCAAGCTTTTGAGTTCTATTTATGGAGCCTTGGTCATGCTGATAAAAATATATATTTATCAGCGTGAGCATGCCTTATTGTAATGTTATAATATATGATAATGAATAATATTAATGAAAATGATGATGATCTAAGCTTAAAAAGCTGTTGAGCTAATTAAAATTTTTCATTCTATAGGTTGGCGAAGTTGGAGAAGTGGCAGAGTTATTGTAAGTACTATAACAAGACTTTTTACTCTCTTGCTCCTTACTTAATTTTAGTTTTTTCTGCTGGACAGTACAGTTATTGTGATGATAAAAAAAATAACATAATAAGTTATTTATAAAATACATAAAATTTACCTTGTATTTTTGTTTTTGTCTCCTAATTTTACAGCCAGTGGAGGAATGATGTAAAAGAAGGATTGCCAGGTAAAGCTCAAAATAGATATACCCTAGGGGTAGTACCTGCAGAGATCGTTATACCCCTGGTGGTTCTTCAAGTACTTTTTAAAAAACGAGCAGGAATGTATTTTCAGCTTGAGTTTTTAAACCTGATAATGCACGACTGTGAGTTTTTTAAACGGCTTCAAAATCTCTGATATAGATCAACTCATTCTTGCACTGATATTAAGACTTGGGGTTATTTTGGTCTAAAAACTGGACATAAAGTTTAGCAGTGTCTTTACCAGATATAAAGACACTCATTAAACATTAACTTCTTTTGTTTTTCTTTTTAAATTATTAATGAGATTTTGAAGGTCTCATCAACAGTAGTTCAGAGAAATAAGACAGGGCCTTATCTGAGAAGGCTAAACACATGGCAGCTCATTTTCTTTAGTTATTTTAAGATCCTGAGTGTTTTGCCAGAAATTGAACCTGAGGGGCAGGGGTCACTCTCTTATCATGTGGCCTAAATGGTTACCGGTATGTGCCGCTGAACAGGGTATGATTATTGGATTGTTGAGGTTTAATCAGGGTATACAATTTCACTATTTAGTGCCTTGAACAGGGCGTCTTTGTAGACTGTAAGCCTTATGTAAAGGTTAGCAATGAATGGTCCTCATTTGTGATTCCAACAGTTTTTTTCAAAAAATTTAATTCCATGATTGTAGTTTAACAATTCTGTCTGAGAAATGAAATGAATTAGGGTCATTAATTTGAGGTCTCTCAGTCTTAAACAGGGTAGTTTGTCTAGAGGCCTTGGTGCCACACCTGTACCCAAACTTCCCTTGACTGAACCCCGCCCCCTCCAGATTTAAACTCGCATTTACCACTCCAAAGACTTGGTCTCAACCAGTCAGTGGTCTAAACAGTAATTGAAGTAGAATATTATTGTGATGTTGTACTCTCTTTGCTAGCAGAGGCCACGTAAGGTGTTTACTCAGCTTGAGTTCTACTTGTAGCAGAGCTTCCCTGTCATTTCTGACCTACTTGAATGTGAAAATAATATATTATGCTCTTTTCTCGTACAGATTGGTCCCCCAAAGAGAAACAGCATCTTGCTCAAGAACTCAGTGATGTACTGGTGTACTTGGTCAGACTAGCAGAAAAGTGCCATGTTGATCTCCCAAAGGAAGTAGTCGCAAAGATAGCCTTAAATGGCAAGAAATACCCTGCAGATCTTGTGAAGGGATCAAGCAAAAAATATACAGAATACAAAGAAATGAATTTTTCAAATCATTGACTGAATAATGTCACTTCTGAGAAGTTTCTTTAATAATTCTCAGTCTTAATTTATTATTTGTTAGTGGAAAACCAGTAATGGTTAGGTCTCTCTCAGAGCCACCTCAGGGAAGAGCAAAATGCTTTAAAATAGTAATGTGGACATAAAGGTTACCAGAATCTCAAAGTACCTGATGGAAAGTCATACTGGAAGATTATTTTTCTTTTTTTTTTGAGAGGATGAACATTAATACGTTTTTACACCTTCTTTCTTAATTTTTATAATAATTCATTTTCCCAGTGTCAGAAAATGTCATCCACATCATTTCATTCATTTAGAAAGCTTGATTTTAGAGTTTTTAAGCCTTTAAGATTTCTTTTTTAAATCTGAGTTTCCAGAAGTTTATTTCAGATTGTTTTGTTAATGAACAATATTTAAACATGATAATTTTGTTACTGTTAGCCTGTCTTTTTTTTTCAAGAAAGTTACAAAAATTAAAGCCATTTAACATGTCTCTTTAATCATATGTATAGTCTGCATTTTGACTTACTTTTGAAAGTTTTTCTGTTTTCCCATCATTATATCGATGCATTTTACATGCAAGGGCAGATCCACTCATTTTTGATAAGGGGAGTGAGAACTGGTCTCAAGGTTGAACCTGTTAATATTCCCACATTTTCTCTCCTTTTTCATGTCTCCCTGTGAACTAGAGGCAAGTTCTGTGCAAATTTCATTTTTTTTTTCGGCTTCCAGATACCAATGAATGCTGTACGGATCCTTTTTGGTAACAATAACAATAAATATTGTTACCAGGCAATATTTATTGTTAATTTATTATTTTTTATATAGCCTATATAATATTATTACTAGCAGCAATCTATGATCCAAGGGGTCACAATCTTTGATAAGAAACTTCAAAAGTCCAATTGGGTTATGGGGAGGAGGGGTTGTTGTGGACAAAAATGAGTCTCCCCATCCCACCTTTAAGGTCAACCTCTGAAACTGATAACTCCTGCTGTTTCAAATTATACTTTAAATTCCTTTTTAGTTGTAGTGTTGTGGTTTTTACCATGCTAATATTTCGTGCTGTTGTATTATTGTTTTTCTCAATGTCCTGCAGAAAACACAGGAGATGGCATTCCCGAGACCCTAAATTGAAACATTTTCTGAGGGAGCATGCCCCCAGACTCCCCCAGGTTTGGGGTGCCTATGGCGCGTTAATTTTTCCTCCGCTGCGTGCGCCTTCAAAATCTCACGCTACGCTGCTGACTTCTGTCGACTACTGGTATCTTATAGCTTATGAAATCAATGTAGCTCAAGGGTTGAAGAAGAAACTCTAAAAGGGGTTGAAGGTGGCGGGGTGAATTTTAAAAATTGTTATTACCAAGTGGGGGTGGGGGGATACAATTTTCATATGTATTTATTTTGGGGGAGGTAAAGTTTCGATACACCACACTTTTCCGAAAACTCACGTAAAAGCACGTAATAAACGATCGGTCCCTCATTTCTCGTACCAACACTCATGTTATGCTTGGGAAACCTGTGGTTACCCAAGCATGCGTTGTCCGAGAATTAGGCCTGGAACCTAGTTTTCCATATAAACAACCTGAAAATGGTGGACGCGGATGGTTTTCAAGTTGTGAAGAAACGAAAGGGTTACAAGAACAAATTTTGTCAGGATAACCACAGAACTTCCACCAAAACATGGAGCAAACTATCGTCATCCGAAATAGTGCATTTTGACGTTAATGAACTGAAATCCAAAATTGTTAAATGCAGGTACGAGAAGCTTTCTTTCTCCCACTGTAATTGTCATACGCAGATTTCCATTTTTGATGATTTTTTTTTGTGATGGATTTATACACAGGGATGAAATTTTAGGAAGCGAATTTTTCTCAAGTTTAAAAGGTAAGCATCCGATCTTTAGCGATGTGCCAGAATTGGTTTGTATGCTTCTGATGGTAAACGGTCATTTCGCCCCGGTTCCTTAGCCCCCCTTTTCTCGAGTCATTTGGTGCGCTTCAAATGTAATATTCCTCGTTCTTCAAGCCACAAACCAGAACAAGCAAGCTTCAAATATAACATTCCACGTTCTAAAATAGGGGGCTAAGTAACAGGGACGAAATGACCGTAAAGCCTTTTGATGTAGCTGGGAGCAGGGTCAAAAGGGATGGGGCCCCGGGGGGACACTCGAAGGGAAGTTTGGGTGTGCCACCGACGCCTCAAACCTTGACGCTATGTAAGAGAAAAATTGTTCATTTTGCCACCCTTTTTGAGAAAAACCAGGCATAGCTAATTGATAAACAGATAATCAATAACAATCAATAGTAATCGATATCAATCATCGGTTTTGTCGATTATTTTCTAATATCAATCGATAGAAATCAATAAAAAAAATAGTTGTGACTTTGATTAATATCGATTTTTATTCATTATGAGTGATTTATCGATTGTTAATTGATTACTATCGATTACAAAATTAACACACTGGAAAATGTGGTCCAATGGAACACTATTCCACACATGAAGAAAAATTTATGAAAATGCATCAGTTTGCTTTTGTCCAAAAATGCTCCACACGAACCTCCACCGCCTTCCCCCCTTCCCCCCTCCCCCATAAAGGTTAAGTGACATTAAGCGGGGGAAAGTGAAAATGCTGACGGTCCTTAAAGGTAATGAAAAAAACTAGATGGATCGGTTTGGCCAAACCATAAAATGGTTTCTGCTCTGAGATGAACAATAGCATTTTATAATCTTTTTCGACTAGACACATTTGACGATAGCTGTTCTAGGAAGAATTCCATTAGTAAAGGAGAATCTGGAAGTAAAAATACTGCAGTTATTCAAGAGGAGCCTATTGCTGATATCATTTGTTATGGAATTGGAAAAATAACTACATGTCCTATTGCTAGATACCAATTTGCCTTATTGTTATTGCTAAAGGAACAACTTCAGGTACTGTGCAGGTTACTTCACTTTACTTTCCATGATTTGAGAGCAGACGGATGGGACAACAAAAGTGCAATTGGATAGGTTTAGGTTAGGGTTAGGTTAACCCTAACCTAACCTAAACCAACATGTAGTGGAGCAAGCTCTNAATAGCTGTGACTTTGATTAATATCGATTTTTATTCATTATGACTGATTTATCGATTGTTAATCGATTACTATCGATTTCAAAATTAACACACTGGAAAATGTGGTCCAATGGAACACTATTCCACACATGAAGAAAAATTTATGAAAATGTATCAGTTTGCTTTTGTCCAAAAATGCCCCACACGAACCTCCACTGCCTTCCTCCCTTCCCCCCTCCCCCATAAAGGTCAAGTAACATTAAGCGGGGGGAAGTGAAAATGCTGACGGCCCTTAAAGGTAATGAAAAAACTAGATGGATCCGTTTGGCCAAACCATAAAATGGTTTCTGTTCACAGATGAACAATAGCATTTTATAATCTTTTTCGACTAGACACATTTGATGATAGCTGTTCTAGGAAGAATTCCATTAGTAAAGAAGAATCTGGAAGTAAAAATACTGCAGTTATTCAAGAGGAGCCTATTGCTGATATCATTTGTTATGGAATTGGAAAAATAACTACATGTCCTATTGCTAGATACCAATTTGCCTTATTGTTATTGCTAAAGGAACAACTTCAGGTACTGTGCAGGTTACTTCACTTTACTTTCCATGATTTGAGAGCAGACAGATGGGACAACAAAAGTGCAATTGGATAGGTTTAGGTTAGGGTTAGGTTAACCCTAACCTAACCTAAACCAACATGTAGTGGAGCAAGCTCTCATGCTAGCATGTTTGTAAGCAAGCAACATATTTGTTGCAATAACTTTATTGTTAGGAATGTTTAGGATTGTAAATTGTGGATTTTAGTCTCACTTAGGGTGTTTGGGATTGAAAGTCACTATATTTACCCATTCAAGTATTGCTTTAATAGGACTGTGGAGAAAGAATTTAACAAAAAATGTTGTGACATTGACCACACAGAAATCTCCTTTAGGGGTCAGTTTTAAGCTTGACCCACACCAACATGATTGGTCTCCCTTTGGGGTTTAATTTAATTTTTTTAACAAGCATCCCCATCACTTTTATGTGGTATTCCCCTCCACAGATAGTAGATCAAGGTGACAGCTTTTTTCCTCTTTCATGGCAGCATAATCAGTCAGTATAATTCAGATTGCCTAATAAATTGGGAACATTAAGTTATTATTATTTTTATTTAAAGATTGCAGGTCCGTGCCATATTTATGAGCCTCATTTTTCAGAAGATGATAAAATGATTGTGGAAAAGTTAGGATGTCAACTTATTGAACATAATGAGGTAAAGTAACAACTATGTTTTAACTTATATTGGTTTTACGAGAAGATCAATACAGAAATATGTTTCCCTCCAGGCCCCACTTGTTCAAAAGATGGACAATGCTATCCACTGGATAGTGCAAATTATAATGTCTCTAATACTTATTGTTTGGATAGTGATTTATCCAGTGGAAAGCGCTATCCATTGTTTGAGCAACTAGGGCCTGGAGTTGGGTATTTCCAGCTTTAGAAGTAGATAATAAATTATCATTGTAATCAAGAATTTTGGTACAGGGGTGGTGCTAATCTAGAATGTAATAAATTGAAAACTTGCAGATGCTAAAAAATACAGTTGGTTGGAATCTCCTGTAAGCAACCACCCAAAATGCAAGGATTTTATTTGTCGCTTACTGGATGTGGTCACTTACAAGAGTAGAACCATATGCAGTCTTTTCCGCAAAGATGTCCTGAGGCATCTACTCTTTGGAAGAAGTTACAAATTTTATATGCATAGTTCCAGGTTGCCACTGAAAGTTCATTTTTTTTTTATTGATGAATCTTATTTTTTTCTAGGAAGGTAAACGAAAAGTGGAAAGATTGACTTTATTTTTCATGCTTCATTGTGGTAAACCACTTTACAACAGTGTTTTGTGGGCAAACTGGGGTCCAAGGCTGTCCAATGTTATTATTCTTGGAAACAGATTTTCAAGTTACCAAGAAAGGTGAGGATCAAAAACTTTGAAGAACACAATCAATGATAGAAATGTCAAATATTGTTATATGGGGGGAGGGAATGACCTGACACACCAACAATTTGTTTGGATTTGTTTTGTAGAATACCTCATTCAAGTGCACAGTAAAACTGTACTGTAGTAGCTTTCTCTACAACCACAACATTGCACCTCAATCAGAATATTGCAGAGCCAATTTAATAATTGATTTCCTTAAATCATGCATAGCTAATCACTTCATAATCGTGGTGAGGAATATCATCTTCATCTCATGGCGGTGCAACAAATTGAAACATCTGAGTTCCTGGAAGGATTTGAACCCATGATAACCCAGACATCAGTACACCCCTCCCTTGTTATCTCCAAATAAAGTTACCATGATGAACTTAGGACCACCTCATTGCTATACTTGTTCACAAAGGAGAACATTGTAGATCGCAAACTCAGATATATTTGGTGGAGAATTCATCTTAATGAGTGGGTACCTTGTTTAGAAGCTGGGAGCCAAAATTTCTTAATCTTTCTTCATTTCAGAATACCCTCAAGACAACTTCGATCAGAAGCATCCTTTATCTATAATGTATCCTCTTAATACTTGCTATTCAACTACTGGTTTTTGCCTAAATATTCATTTACAGTAGATCTTTGGATTTTTTTAATCCTTCCAGAATTATTCTATTCACAGTGTGCAATGTTTGTTTGTTTGTTTCTCGTGCATATTTACGTGGCTATCTTCCCAAGTAAATGAAACCCAAGGAGGCTGAAACACAGTATAAGCCTTTCAGTTCACAAGGACTGCTTAACTTGTAAGCATCAATGGCTTTGTTTTATCTATAAGTCAAATACTCTTATGCATTCCTTGACTTTCATTTGGTCAGATACTTCCTTATGTGAAAGAAACACCAGTTCCCAACACATTTCACCACAGTGATATTTTCAATGACTCTGCAATTCACTGGTTTCCAAGGGATATTTTAAGCATTCACTTGACCGTTTGGAAATGGTCCGGTGAGAGTCGGTACCCAGGGGCTCTTCCGCCTGTGCTTGAAAACTTTCGTCGCGCCTTTTCTCCCGGCCCGACTGACTGCCCCTGGGTCTCCGAGGATGTCCACTGGATAGTGCAATAATGTCTCTAATACTTATTGTTTGGATAGTGATTTATCCAGTGGAAAGCGTTATCCATTGTTTGAGCAACTAGGGCCTGGAGTTGGGTTTTTCCAGCTTTAGAAGTAGATAATAAATTATCATTGTAATCAAGAATTTTGGTACCAGGGTGGTGCTAATCTAGAATGTAATAAATTGAAAACTCGCAGATGCTTAAAAATACAGTTGGTTGGAATCTCCTGTAAGCAACCACCCAAAATGCAAGGATTTTATTGTCGCTTACAGGATGTGGTCACTTACAAGAGTCGAACCATACGTAGTCTCTTCCGCAAAGATGTCCCGAGGCATCTACTCTTTGGAAGAAGTTACAAATTTTATATGCATAGTTCCAGGTTGCCACTGAAAGTTCTTTTTTTTATTATTGATGAATCTTATTTTTTTCTAGGAAGGTAAACGAAAAGTAGAAAGATTGACTTTATTTTTCATGCTTCATTGTGGTAAACCACTTTACAACAGTGTTTTGTGGGCAAACTGGGGTCCAAGGCTATCCAATGTTATTATTCTTGGAAACAGATTTTCAAGTTACCAAGAAAGGTGAGGATCAAAAACTCTGAAGAATGCAATCAATGATAGAAATGTCAAATATTGTAATATGGGTGAAGGGGATTACCTGACACACCAACAATAATTTATTGTTTGGATTTGTTTTGTAGAATTAGCACATTCCAGTGCACAGTAGAACTGTACTGTACTGTTCCTGCTTTCACTTTGATATCAGTTAAATCATGCACAGCTAATCACTTAATAATCATGGTGAGGAATATATCTTCATCTCATGGGGTGCAACAAATTGAAACATCTGAGTTCCTGGAAGGATTTGAACCCATGATAACCCAGACACCAGTACACCCCTCCCTTGTTATCTCCAAATAAAGTTACCATGGTGAACTTAGGACCACCTCATTGCTATACTTGTTCACAAAGGAGAACATTGTAGATGGCAAACTCAGATATATTTGGTGGAGAATTCATCTTAATGAATGGGTACCTTGTTTTGAAGTTCGGAGCCAAAATTTCTTAATCTTTCTTCATTTCAGAATACCCGCAAGACAACTTCGATCAGAAGCGTCCTTTATCTATAATGTATCCTCTTAATACTTGCTATTCAACTACTGGTTTTTGCCTAAATATTCATTTACAGTAGATCTTTGGATTTTTATTAATCCTTCCAGAAGTATTCTAACCAAAGTAATTTTTCACAGTGTGCAATTTAATGTTTGTTCCTCGTGCATATTTACGTGGCTATCTTCCCAAGTAAATGAAACCCAAGGAGGCTGAAACACAGTATAAGCCTTTCAGTCCACAAGGACTACTTAACTTGTAAGCATCAATGGCTTTGTTTTATGTATAAGTCAAATATTCTTATGCATTCCTTGACTTTCATTTGGTCAGATACTTCCTTATGTGAAAGAAACACCAGTTCCCAACACATTTCACCACAGTGATATTTTCAATGACTCTGCAATTCACTGGTTTCCAAGGGATATTTTAGGTACAGTTCCTGATGCAGTTTGGGATGATAATGAAGAACCAACTTATGCTTCAAACGATCCAGAAATAGTTACACATAGTGTACTTAGCTCTTGACCAAGGGTAGCCTGCAAGCAAGCTGTCCTGGGGGTGTGGTGGGGGGAGAGAAGCAGCCAAGCCTTCCCCGTCTCCTTCCCTTCCCCACTCCCATGCCCCAGTAGAGCTTGCTTGCGGTAACCCATTTTGTACGCTATTTAAAAGGCTCTATTCAAAATGTTTTATCCTGCGGGATTAAGTCTTCTCGTTCCGGTAAGAATTAAAGATTAGATTCCGTAAAAATAAACTCGCAAATAAAAAGATCTAAAAAAATTACCCCTTTTCAACACTGTTGAATTTTCAATTTAATCTACTGCAAACTACATAAAATTACAGTTGTAACTTGATACTGTGGCCTTACCGTAAATTATATACGAAATTTTACTAGCCAGTTTTTGCAAGGAGAATAAACGGCAACTCAAGCGCAGGAATACACAACTATATCAGCGGAAATGTTGCAGAATGACATGTCGTGGTTCTATTTTCTTTGCAACTTCATTCTCAGAGTCTTAGCCTGTACTCTTTAAGGTTCTTCACCCTGACCTGGTACGTGACCGTTCCTTGCCACTTTGAACAGGATGTGCAAAGATGCATAAAATAAACCAGGAAATCGAATGCTACAGCACCCTTCTACGAAAATATCAATCTCAAAAAGAAAACACTTCCATAAAACTTTTATCTACATCCACTAGATTTTCTGGTTTAAATTGTCCAGGTCGAGCCACCTTAACACGAGGTTAACCTCTTTGGTTATGGCATATTAAGTTGTTAAACCCCGTAGACCCGTATTTTTCTGAGACAGCATAACGATTGAAGTGTGTAGCTCCAAAAAAGATCGGATATACGGGTAGAAGATAGAATTGTTCCGAGAAAAACGTCACTTTATCAAGTCTGCAGGAGTGCCAATTTCGCTTTGCTCGCACTGCACGTCGCATCTCCTTTACGTGGAAAGCGCTTACACAGTTTCAGAGCTTGCAAGTTTACTTTCCTCACTTCATATGAGGAAAAAAAGGACTACTAGTAGTCTAAGTGCGTACAGGCAATCACTCATGATCAGGAGGTACATATAGCCTGCATAGAAGGCAATTGAAAGGGTCAGGGGAGGAGGCGTTTTTCTTCCCCACCCCAACCCTCACCCTTTTTCGCGCCTGTCACACAGACTATAGTCACTGACGCGGACAAGGACTCCCGATATCACGTGCATACCTTACTTTCGAAATGTTATAAATTCTTTGTTCTTAATAAGCGTTTCATTACTTCTTGATAAACGAAACCCAGTTTTTAGGCTTGACGGCGGCCAAACGAAACAAATTTGTAAAAGCGAAGAAAAGTACTTCAAAGCTATTTTTGATACCAATATACATTGTCAACATGCTGAACTTTAAAGGTTTTCAAAAGTTGTCATTTTCGCTCTTTTGTTACATGTCGATTATTTCAAACCATCACCTTGCCCAAGAAAATGTCCAATTATATCTTTTCCACCCGATAAATCACAAGTGACTATAGACTGCGAAACAGTCCGTATTTTTGCGTATTCAAGTACGCGCGAGTAGTCAAACAAAAGGTCTGGAACGAGGCTGAAAACAGAGAGCGAGACCTGGGTTTTTTTTCTCTCGCCTCACACGCCCTACGGGCTTGTGAGGCTCGCGCGCTTCGCGCGCGCAAGACCCTTACGGCACGCTTTACCGATTTCTTTACTGATTTTGAGAAAAAAACCCGACTGTTTTGCAGTCTATAGTGACTACTATCTAGTGTACAAGTGTAGATTCTCCTAGATATCTCGAGCCTCGGCCTCATGTTTTGTTTTGTTAAAATGAAATTTCCATGAAAAATTAATATCGCAGTATGTGCAATTGTTTTACACACTGGATCGGTTTCAACTAGTTTCTTGGACATTAGCTGAAAATTATAATCCGGCTTAAGAATGTTGTCTTTTTTTTTCAGAGCTTGATCCTTGTGTTCAAGCTAAACTTAATTAAAAATAAATACATAAATAATTTGCGAGTTCTTGCGCACTGTATTTTTCTTGTCTCGTTTTCATTTAGCGGTCTCGTTTTGGAAAACCAAGATCCCTATACTTCCGTCATTATTTTTATCGCAGGTGATGTGCTTCTGCCGTGAGAGCCAATGGAAACAACGAAATTTTCATTAGAAATAAGCCTTTAACAAACATTCTGAATATTTCAAGAGGTTGTAGATGGGAATGCTGAAATATCAGTTATCGGTTAAGATTTTCGGCGATTTCTCAGGTATCAATAAAAATTTCAGCCCATTTCTAAGATATCTCTTAATTCTGGAGATCGCATCTCTCATTAATTTCTCAGTTGACAGTTCAAATTTTGACTAATTCTAAGCTATCGGAAAACCGCAACCAGACCTTACAATAATGGCCCTATTCTATTCACGATATTAAAGTTTCATAGGTCACACCCATCGAATATTCTTAAGACTTCAACAGAAGCATCGGAGAACAGATTAAAAACAGCATCTTTGAAAAAACCTTAGTTGGTTTTGCGTTACGCTACAAGTTCAGCTTGTTTCTCTATACGTCTCTATGTCAAGACACTGTGTGTAGGGGTTTAGTTCCATCGGAACTTATAAATTATTGATTCACTTGGTAAGCAAACTTCAATGCATTGTGCTAGATTTTTAACAATGTCTTCCATTGTGATATCTTCTCTGGTTTTATCGAGGATCTCTGCTGTATCCTCGCCCCAGTTCTGAAGCCTGGCTCCCCAATAATGATTTAGTCTTATCCTGTAAAAATCAGCATCCTCTGATATTCCTTTTTTCAAGTCATGGTGATGAACGTGAGTTATTGACACATCTTCTGTCTTGTAAATTGGTTTGACCAGAGCGTTTGCTGGGCCGTGAGTTCTACGCTTAAGTCGATCGATTAGCAGCGGATGTTGCCTATCGTCCAATGGTTTCCCAAGAAAAAGGAAATTTTGCATTGTAATTTGGGAAACATCTGGTCGTTGTTCAGAAAAATTAGTGATAAATCGTTGCATGAAATAAGGTTTGGTGTCTTGAGGACAGAATGGATATTCGTCGATATCAATGCTAGCTTGCCATGTAGATAAGTTACCCCACTTGTTCAAGCAATCTTGATATGCGCTTTCTTGCGTTTTAGTCACTGTATAAGGGAATGCATTGTGGCTCCAATCGACATAGGTCACAAATCCTTGTTTTATAAAAAAATCGAGTGCGTCCTTTTGAGACTCGTTCTTAAAAACGTATGCATCATAGACATAAACATGCTCAAAGCCAGCGTAACTCAAGTAATACAGCCACTGAATGAGCTCACGGGTGCTAAGCTTAGCTAAATCGCTGGAGTAGATTCGCACGAGTAAAACCGCGCTTAAAAAGTACAAGCCATCTGAATTTGTTTTTTTCTGACACCAGCTGAGGCAATGCGCCTTGTTTTCTAAAGTGCCCGCTGTTTCGATTAAGTTCCCATTGTATTTCCTCTTGTAATCTCCACTTCTGAAGTCGCTGTGCTGATATTTTTTCTTGCTGTTGTGGTTGAGACGAGGCACCATCAAAAGAATAAAGGTAATTAAGGCAAACAGCATTAACAACCGTTTAAACTTTAGTCTGCAGAACAGTCTGGACAGTACAAAGTTTTTCATGCGGTATGCAGCAGTGATTGCCACATGGTATCTTAGCTGTAGCTGCATTACAACTCATAACTCCATTTGAGCTTTCAAATAAACAGATATTGAAACTGAATGCGGACTGAGTTCTGTGTTGCTACGGTGATTTCTGTGCAAGACAAGAGTGGTAAGTGGTTTCGACTTGGAATGTACACACTAAAAACAGCATTCCGATTGGTTTATTATAAATTTACATACTGTTCCTAGGCTGAAACGTCTTCTTTTCAGTCCAAATATTGAAATAAAATCTGACCCTGAGTATAATTGAGGACGATCAAGCGGGTTATCACGCGAGCTTGATCAAACGATGATTATCATGTGATGAACCTAAAATTGAGAATAAACCCGAATTAGTTTTTCATTTTGCCAATAAAAAAGTATTTTTTGTAAGTCGTGGCTTTTTGTACCCAAAATATAGTATCCAAGACAGTTCATCTAACTCATTACATAACGCACGCTTACATATTAAAAAGACCCTTTTGCGTATTGCGCATGCTTGTCGTCAGGGAAGCTCTGGTATTGCTTTTGGTATTGCATTGCATAAGTTTCTTCCTTTTGTTTTCTTTTTTTTTAGTGCGACGTTTAATTAGTGCGAAATTGTAGCTGCTTGGCAATCTGCTAAGTTATTTTATTCTTTTTTTGAAGTTTTTAGATAATTCTACTACTTAGGAGTAGAACACATGGCTTTTTTTGTGGCTTTTACTAATCGGCTCCTGCTGTTTTGAAATGAGAAATTGAAACGAAAAGTAGGTTATGCTGGCGCTCGAAAGCCAAGGGGAATCTAATGACAAAGGAAGGTAAGGAGATGCTAAGCTCTATTCCTCTTCCCTCTTTTCGTCTGACGTTATATGCACATGTTCTTCGGGCGAGTAGCAATCACTTTCATAATTCAAACGCAGACTTGCCCTTTTGCTTTCTGTTGAGTCGCGCAAAATTCATATATTCATTAGTGTTTTTTTTTAGACTTGTGCTTCTATTTATAACGTGTTTACAAACGCTCTAACTGGAAATGACCTCTTGTGTGTACCCTGTAGTTAAAGAAATTTGTATTGCATTGCGTTGTTTGAGGCTGAAAAAAAAGATCGAGCAAACAAATTTCCAACCTCCTTACTTTTTTACGGTTCACCCCTCAGTAGTGTAACAATCACTGACCTGCTAGTTAACAAATTCTCATCGCAAGCGTCTTCTTTTTTCTATTTTCTCGTCGCAAGTCAATCTATGTTTTTATCTACTAATCTATATTCAAAAACTCACTTATAATTCAGGAGGGGATGACAAAATGACAAAGAAGTCCTGTGTTTTAAAATCGTTTGTATTCTTTTCCTTTAATTTTCTTGACTAAAATCAAACAAATTTTTGTAGCGATGGGAAGTGATCTTTAGTAAGGTTTTTTAAAGGCGGTCACCACGCAATTTATGTTTTAAGTTTAGAAACCACTCGCCTCAGCACCTGGTGATGTGTTTGCGTGAACGCGGCGCTTAAAAAACAACAGCTTGGCCGACTGGCATAAACAGTTCATGCTATCATTTCCCCAAACAGGAAACTGAAATACTTACACGATTATAAAGAAACCGTTGACAGCTCATTCTACAACCTTAAATCTATTTTTCTAGATTTTTACCGAAAAAGTTTACACAACATTATGCAATACATAAGGTTCGTTCAATAAAAATTTCCTAGCGCGAGTTTTCAGGAACTTTGTGCGGAATTCTGATGCGGAATATATATCCAAAAAACAACTACTTACCGCCATGTTAAAGTCAGAAGTCGTTTTCAAGACTCAGTAACGGCACTGGCTTTAAGACGATTTTAATCTCGGAAACATCGCAACCATCTGCTTCCACATGGGTAAAACGTCCACGCCGCATTTTTGTCAAAATTACGTATGCAATTTCTGCCTCAAACTCTAATTATGCTATTTAATTGTTTTTATGGGAATGACCATAAGTATTGCATGCATAATCAATACAGTGGAGTTTATTTTTTTTAACTGGCGAACTTAGCTTGGGAGTTTTTGCCTGTTTGACCTATACATCTTCTAAAGGATAATTTAACCGTGGAGGAAGCAATGGTGGAGGAACAGGTAGAGGAAATCACAATCAAAATGGAACCTCTACTCTGAGAGACCTATATTCAAGGGAAACAAAATTTGGTCCCAGAAAAATTCAGTTCACATTATCTTTCTATCTGTTACCTCTATTGAAAGGACACTTTTACTCAGGAAAAATAGACACTTTTTGGGGGTCTCGAAACCAGTGTTTAACCTCTAGTTAGGTTATACATTAGTCCTTAAAACGTGACCGACACAGAAAGGGTTGATAAGTTTAAGTTTACACTGTCGCAGGGGCGGATCCAGGATTTTTTTTAGGAGGGGGTGCACTCGTCTCTTGCTCTTCTTCAACACCAATAAACCACTTTTTTTTTTTTGCAGAATACCAGTTGTCAGGTTGTATTAGAAAACCGCAGGTCATCTCAGGGAGGGGGGGTGCGCACCCCCTGCACCCTCCCCCTAGATCCGCCCCTGTGTCGCCTATCTCACCTGCACTGAAGATGCCGCTTTACCACCCAATTGAGTTAGTGAGGTTATCAAGAACAAGGTTGGACTATTCAGACGTTAAGTGTTAAGCCTTAAATCTTTCAAGTTAAGATTCAAAAAATGGCTGTCAAAAGAATGCGATTTAAGGCGTCTATTTTTAAGTATTTGTGCTCTCAACCACAAGAGGGGAGTCAGAATCGATGTCATCATCGATAACCAAACCCGATATCTGGTGTGACGCTTGTCACACTATGCGAGAATTAATTAACCATTTTATCAGGGGCAACCAACGTCAATTTTCAGAAAATATCTATTCGGAAGACGATTTGAGATCTAGCATTTTCGGAACATTTGTTGTAAAATCTCTTGCTTGCCGCCTCTGCTAGGATTTTCGAACATCTAAAAAATGGCATAATTGCCCATTTTTAACGGATTTTTACCCTAAAAAGGTCACCTGTAACTTTCGAAAGCCTTTTTCCTGGCTAAAATTTTCGAAAAGGTAAGTTTTGATCCCTATTTTCGGATCACTTAAGTTTCAGCTAGGAAATCCGAAGAGATGAAAAATTTTTAGGGGATAAAAATATGCCTATATTTACCGTTTTAATACTGAAATACGTTTAACAAAGCTATGCCGGTTTAAGTGGTTTTGAACTATACTCTCGTTGGGTGCCCCCGATTTTATACGGAAATACTGCAAATTTAACATTTATGTAGTATTTATATGTAAAAGACAATAATCATTTCAGCGGATGGGCGTAGAAATGAAGTGATGAATGAAAGAGGTGCTGTAGAGAGGAGCAGCAAAATAAGAAGATTAGGTTGGATTTATGGCTTGTAAATTTCCTCCTTTTTAATAGTGAAACGTTAGATGACACTACAGACAAACAATGTGTGTAAAACGCATGAACAACACGCCATCGGCCATTTTTATAACAAAAGGGAAAAGGCAATATAGGGGCGACGGATCAATCATGCTCGAGAGACAACTAGCCGCTAGAGAATTGGGCGGCGGGACGTTTGCTACCCTCCAAACTGAAAAGCTTTCTCACGGGTTAACGCGTAGCCTGCGTGGTAGGCGTTTGAAAGGAAAGGGAAAGGGGGTTTTAGGCGCGAGAGAAACGCGAGGGGCGCGCGAGGAGGGAGGGAAGGAAACGGCGTTTCTTTCCCTCTCTCCTTGTTCGCCCAGGCCCTCACGTTTCTCTCGCACCTAAAACTTCCTTTCCTTTCCTTTTCAAACGCCTGCCACGCAGGTTAGTTGACGCGCGGTCAACATGTTTANATGGCTTGTAAATTTCCTCCTTTTTAATAGTGAAACGTTAGATGACACTACAGACAAACAATGTGTGTAAAACGCATGAACAACACGCCATCGGCCATTTTTATAACAAAAGGGAAAAGGCAATATAGGGGCGACGGATCAATCATGCTCGAGAGACAACTAGCCGCTAGAGAATTGGGCGGCGGGACGTTTGCTACCCTCCAAACTGAAAAGCTTTCTCACGGGTTAACGCGTAGCCTGCGTGGTAGGCGTTTGAAAGGAAAGGGAAAGGGGGTTTTAGGCGCGAGAGAAACGCGAGGGGCGCGCGAGGAGGGAGGGAAGGAAACGGCGTTTCTTTCCCTCTCTCCTTGTTCGCCCAGGCCCTCACGTTTCTCTCGCACCTAAAACTTCCTTTCCTTTCCTTTTCAAACGCCTGCCACGCAGGTTAGTTGACGCGCGGTCAACATGTTTATGTGCCCCTAGCTTAAGTGACCTAGTATAGTCGAAAAAAAATCCACTGAGGCTGACTGACGGCGACCTCCATACGCAAGCTGAGCTCGTCCATGGAAAAGTCCCTTTACGAAGTATGAGTACCAGCCGATCATAAAGTCCGTAACATAAGTAACTGTATTAGTACCCTTTAGACATCAGAGAAGAACGCGTCTTAGCCTACAAACGAAGATCTAATTACTTTTTGGGCGAGAGAAACGACAGCTGGAAATACGCATGCTTCCGTAGACATGCAACTCTCAGTGTTAAAAAAACTTGTACTCCAAATGGACAATTCAAAAAATAAAATCGCAAAAATGTCATAGGAATACTTTTTGAAAAAGGTAATGTATAATATCCGAACCTAATACCTATTTAGGTCGACCCACACTACTAAGTTCGACTCTTGATTCAGACGGTCGAACTTTACATGTGCCGAACCTAATTCCTGGTGAAAAGAAATATCATCCTTACTGCTTAAAATAGGGAAATATACTGAAAAAACTAAAGGTCACCAAGCCTGGATATTCTTGTTTTGATTTTAGTGTGATTTGTGTTCTGTTATGGCAAGGAGAAAGCTGAGGAGATCGTGATCGTGATATTTGGACAAAGTAAAGTAACGCCCTAAATTTTAAAAACATAACGATTTCTTTGTGGATATAAAGAAAAGCAACTTTTAAAAGATCGTTTTAAGCTGTCCAGTTTCAGTCTAAAAATCTACAACGTGAATGCTGGTAACCGTCGTTACGCTTCTGTCAGTTCTGTCGGCAAAGGCGCGAAAACCCACTAAATAGCCAATCAGAAGCGCGGTTTTATTGAAAAATACGTTAACATAATTTATGCATTAGGTTCGGCACGTGTGAAGTTCGACGTATGAATCGAAGTCAATCTTTTGCCGTTCTATTCGACAAGCTCAGTCGAATAGAACGGCAGAGTCGACCCAAATACAAAAGTGTCCTTCCTAACTGATTTATACGTCGAACTTTACATCTGCCGAAACTGATAATTAGGTTCGGCACATGTAAAGTTCGACGTTTGAACCGGGCCTAAGAGTATGAAAAGAAATATTATCATAAAAATAAACCTTGGATCAGTGTGGCATTTGTTCAGAATATCTGTCATATCCGGTTTTTTTTTTTGCAAAAAGGGAAATTAGTTTTGAGATCTCTACTCTTGGAGGGTCGTTCTTTACTTTCGAAACTTTACGGTAAGAACAGAGAATAAAAAACCGGAACAAACGATAAATTAGTTGATTCATACAGTATTGCATATCAAAAGGTAAACTTTTTCTTTGCCCTCTGTCTTAATTCCATCGGAACTTATAAATCAGTGATTCGCCTGGTAAGCAAACTTCAGTGCATTGTGCTAGATTTTTAACAATGTCTTCCATTGTGATATCTTCTCTGGTTTTATCGAGGATCTCTGCTGTATCCTCGCCCCAGTTCTGAAGCCTGGCTCCCCAATAATGATTTAGTCTTATCCTGTAAAAATCAGCGTCTTCTGATTTTCCTTTTTTCAAGTCATGGTGATGAACGTGAGTTATTGACACATCTTCTGTCTTGTAAATTGGTTTGACCAGAGCGTTTGCTGGGCCGTGAGTTCTACGCTTAAGTCGATCGATTAGTAGCGGATGTTGCCTATCGTCCAATGGTTTCCCAAGAAAAAGGAAATTTTGCATTGTAATTTGGGAAACATCTGGTCGTTGTTCAGAAAAATTAGTAATAAATCGTTGCATGAAATTAGGTTTGGTGTCTTGCGGACAGAATGGATATTCGTCGATATCAATGCTAGCTTGCCATGTAGATAAGTTACCCCACTTGTTCAAGCAATCTTGATATGCGCTTTCTTGCGTTTTAGTCACTGTATAAGGGAATGCATTGTGGCTCCAATCGACATAGGTCACAAATCCTTGTTTTATAAAAAAATCGAGTGCGTCCTTTTGAGACTCGTTCTTAAAAACGTAAGCATCATAGATATAAACGTGCTCAAAGCCGGCGTAACTCAAGTAATAAAGCCACTGAATGAGCTCACGGGTGCTAAGCTTGGCTAAATCGCTGGAGTAGATTCGCACGAGTAAAACCGCGCTCAAAAAATACAAGCCATTTGAAGTTGTTTTTTTTGGACACCAGCTGAGGCAGTGTTCTTTGTCCTGTAAAGTTTCTGTAGTTTTAATCCTCGGGCGCTCATTAATGTTGTTCTTTATATATTTTTCACTGTTGGGGTTAATATTATGATGGGCTTGTATGTTTGCTGTGGTTTTGTCGCCTTTTCTGTATCGGATACCAATCCTCGTTGACCCCACATGAGGACGGTGAATGTAGACTTCTTTTTGATAGCCAACAGGTAATATAGAAACGTCTGTTTTACTGTTGACGTGAACTGCTATTAAAAGGAGGAGAACAATTATGCCGAACAGTAAGAGAAGCTTTAAAATCCTCAGTCTGCAGAACCGAAACAGTGCAGTGTTTTTCGTTCGATTCGAAGCAGCGCTTGCTATGTGTCGACCAAATTGTACTCTCATTATATCATTCACAAATCCCAGATCGGATCATTCCATACAGCCTTGAGAATCAGCAAGTGCAACGATCAGGATTCAACTGTTACAATTAGTTAAGGGTATTCTGTGTAAGTGTCATGAATCTCTTAATTCAAGAATACTTCCAGGTGGGTTATAAAGACTGAAAACAGTTTACCACTTGGTTAAGAATAAATGATTGAACAGGTCGTTAAATTTACATACGCTGAAGATTGCATCAATTGCTTTTCATTCTTCTCATGGACCAAATGCTGTCCCCATAAAGTCTTGAAGATGACCGGCTTGCGACGCTGGGCCACGTCTTTCACGTTAAATTTGTCCTCCCGGTTGTGATACAAATCAGTGCAGAATTCCGGTTGAACTTGACGTTATATTTGTCTCCGCTGTTTGATTAGCCTGAAACTGTGTGGAAAAATGTCAATCAGTGACAGACGCCTTTTAGTACGCCATAGTCCCGCTCCGTCTGCATAGTAGCGAGTCTACAATTGTCGTCCAGGGAAACAATTTCTTTGGAGTCTTCTTACAAAACTCGTTGTCGCAATCAATAGAGGAGTGTTAAGATCCACTTGATCCCAGTCCCCTCAGTATTACGTAAATTAGAAGAGACCTCTACTCCAACGAAGACTGAGCCGCTATCATATTTAAATTCTGTCAATACCTTTTTTGGTTAGACTTGAAAATTCTATTCCCTTTTGAAGAAATTATTTTGCCACCTTGAAATCGGTATTGAAAGACTAAGCGCGAATACAAACGTAAACTGAATATACTAGGCTGCTCAGTGATAGCCCAGTATGTCTGACAGAAGTAATAAGCAGAGTAGGATGTTTTCTCTTTTCCTTTTAATAAAACCAGCCTTAGAATTTTTCCAGAGTTTGTTTTAATATTCATAGGTTCCCTAATTTACACGTAGATCCGTCAGTGATTTAATGTTGTTTGTTCAGTTGCTTGAATGTCTTACTCTATTGGTTTAGCTGCTGAAAGAAGCAAATACACCCGACTTTAAGTTCACTGAAAACTGATGAAGGTGATTTACATGCATTAAAAGATTAACTTATTTAAACCCAAGAAAGCACTTCTTATTTTCCGTGCGCAAAAGCCGTTGGCAGTAACAGTTTCCTCCACTTCATTTTGCACCAGGAAAAACGAGAGTGTAGAATTGGCAGCCAATGATCGTCTGCTAGGTATACCCCCATTTTATTAACGAAAGCTTATTTGTCATTAGTGAACAGGTTTAATTTTTTCATTCGCTGTTATGCTTGTAGACTTTGGATTTTCTTACCTTTTTGCAAAAGAATTTTGCTATTCATAGCATCATTAGAAGTTGCCAAATGTTATTTTTCAAACAAGCTTGTCTCATGTCACCAAGAAATACCCAGTGATGAATTGTGTCCACTGTGTGTATATGGCAATAGGCCCAGTAGTCGTGGTAGTTAGAAAATTTCAAACAATTTCCACGACATTAAGCCTGAGAGAACCTCTTCGACTAGGACCTACCCAGGCCCGTAGCAAGAATAAAATAATTGGCGGGGGGGGGGGGGGGG